GCGGCCGAGCGACTGGGCGGGGTTGGTTGGGAGGACAAAGCCCCGCGCGGTGCTGACCCGGAGGTCGTGTGGGGGTGACCTGGTGGCCGCTCACGTGTCACCTGCGGGACAGTCGCGTTCGGGACGCCCCATCCCGCAGGGCGCAGCCCGGCCTCGCTGTGCGAGCTCAGGACCAGCCCTGGCCGTGGCCTCGCTGGAGTTGGCAAGAGAACGGAAGTCCTGGAAGCAGCCTGACTGCAGATGGTGGAATTTAGATAATTTGGCAGGTTAGGAGAATGGCAGTAGCATCAAAATTCTGTGTTATTAAAGTAAATCCCACTGAAAAAGTCTACCATCCGGCAGGAGGAGACGAAATGTTCAAACGGCCCAGTTGCCTAGTGTTGCATTAAGGTGGACCTCTGTAATTTTACAGCGATTTTAGAAAAAGGATGATGTGCTTTTTATGAGAATAGGAATTACTCTACATCTGCTTTTTAAAAATATTAATTTTATTGGCACAGTTTTGATAAACGTAATGATCACATTCATCTTAGGGAATTTGTACCTGATTCTCCGTTTTCCCCCCCATTCCCTTCTCCTCCCTTCAGCCCTACCCTTGTATCTCCTTTTGAGTTAATTCAAAATTTGGCTTTTCTCTCCTCCCGACTCTTTCTAAGATTATTTTACACGGATGTAAAAGAGATAATGAAGGAACTAGACTTTTAAATTCCCGTTTTGTCAGGAGGCGGAAGTAGGAGAAGCACCGTGAATTTGAGGCCAGCCTGGACTACATAGCTAGACCCTGTCTCAAAAAAAAAAAAAAAAAAAAAAAAACCCAACATTTCATCATCACACACCGGGGTTAATATTTCTTAATTTAGTCCTGTTTTTTCTTCTAGAAATGTAAAGAGAATACTTAATTGTTTTTGGTATTATCAGAATGCAGATTTGCATTCTGTAGATTTTGAGCATGAAGTCCACCTTTCAGCACTCACTAAATTGAGTTTTCTATTGTTTTTCTTAAAATAATTGCATAAACATGAAATATCTGGTATAAAAATAGAACCCATTTGCTTAGAAAAGGCAAATATCAGTTTGTAGCGACTGTAGTAGAATGTTTTGTAAAATTATTAAATGAAAATAAATTACATACTAATCAAACCAAATTAAGTATTGATAGAATGAAATGATGCGTGGGAGAATTAGATTCTGTCTGCTTTTCAATCTGTGTACACCATAATCCCTGATTTAATTATATGTAAGTGTATATTTAGGATTGGGTCTTTTTTTGTGATTTGGGGGAATTGAACCCAGGAGCTTTTCCCTGAGCTACCTCCCAGACCTTTTTTTTTTTTTTGAGACAGAGTTTCTAAGTTACTAAATTGCCCAGGCAAGGCTGGAACTTGTGTCCTCTTGCCTCAGCCTTCCAGAGTGCTGAGATTACAGTTGTGTGCCACCACGCCCAACACACTTTCTTCTTTTTGCTTGTAAATGTTTTGAAGTATATAACACATGGTTTAATATCTTCAGCCTCCTACCCCACCCTCCTCAGAGGCCGCTGGTGTTATTAGCCATCTGTACATCCCTCCAAGGAGGGCTTAATATACATACAGTCAAACATGAATATAAATATTTGCCTGTTATAGAAATGGTAGCACACTAGTTTCTGTTACATGTACTATTTTTTTAAAAATTGTACATTAGGCCCATTTAGAGCTTCTCGATTCAGATCTTTGGTATAATATACAATGTGTTGATGAATAAACTTACATAAGTTTAAAGTGTCAAATATCTTTAAATGCAGCAGGCAACAAATGTATGAGTAAAAATTTTCCCAGCTTTAAATAACTCTTACATTTTTTTGAACTTTGCTAGACTGTTAGGTGAAATATATTTCAAAATATTTTAGATTTGTACTTCCCTTATGATGGAAGTGGAGCATATTTTCATTTTTTATAAGCCTTTTGCATCTTTTGCGAAGTTTATCCTATTTTTCTATTGTTTTTTTCTTATGTGCTAGTATGTACTTTGTATCAAATAGTCCTTTTAATATGAATGACTAGCACTAATTCTTTATTGATTATTCGCCATGACTTTTTACTGTGGCTTTGCAAAAATGCTTGTTTTTATGCAATTGAATTTATAACCTGTATCTTGTTGCTTTTATATATGTGTTACATCTTGGCATTATTAAACAACAATTGGGCAATATTAAACAACAAAAAATCCCCAGGTTTATTTTAGGGTTTTTGTTTGTTTTACACATAAGTCTTTCATACATGTGGAATCATTGTGGTGTAAGGTAAAAGAGGATACATTTTGCATTCTTTTATTCTTTCTCCCTTTCCCTGTTTGAATCTCCTAATTTAAGTATTAAAGCATTGGTGTAATTATTTACAGAGTTTACTCTGCACTGCTTTGAGTTGAGAAAGTTTAAAATGTTTATATTAGTTTTCTTTGTGTGTTTGAGCTTATCTGAAGTTACGTGAGCAGTAGATTGAGGTATGTTGGGAATGTAAATACTTTGTAATATATTTGAAGTATAGCATCTTAGTTTAACATGCTAAATTATATGTATGTACGGATTATGTGAGAAGAGTGATTTAAAATATTCTGAATAGTTCCATTGTTACACATATGCTAGTGAGTTCAGAGTTCACTAAATGTGGATGTAGTTCACAATTATAAGTTGAGGGTAAATACATTTGAGGTTTAGTCCACTACTAGTCACATCTGGACATAACTACATCTATTAATTATAAGGTAGAATATTTTGTTACATCTGATTTTAATTACCTTACAACTTGGAGCTTGACTGTAAATACTGTGTTAGATCTGTCAAGAATATGAACAAATGCAGCTACAGTGATAATAGCCTTACTTATTTTCAAAATTAAGGATCTATATTTTGAGAACTAGAAGAGGTGCTATAAGTAAATAATGTTAGCATACGTTTTGGGGAGGGTTCTACTTTAAATTGTGCATATGCTCAACATTTGTAGCAGAGAAGATTCTTGATTGTAAGGCTACTACTTAAATGGAGCAGTGAATTTTATAAATAAGTGTGTTCTAAAGCATCTTGCTAGTGCTTAAGCACCCTGAAGAATGTTGAGACTTCTAAAAAAGTTTTAAGAGTTAGAAATATAGCAGCTGAAAAAAACTTCAAAATATTTCTTTTGGTTCCCATGAAAAATATTAGTTTAAAATGTTTAAAAAATAAAAGATTAAATATGCTTTACATTAGTTGTAATTTTGAGAACGAAGGCTTTGTATTTTTTCCTCAGGGGGTGTGTACATTTAAAAAGATGTTGCTGTTATTGTCACAATGACTTTTGGGTAATGTGAATAATTACAATCACAAATTATTGTGTTCATTGCAAACTCATGATATTTAATTGAGCACTCTTTACTCATTTTCATTAGAGTCCAACCTTTAATTAAAAATGCTTATCTTAATTAAAGCTTTATTTAGACAGCTTCCTATTGTTATCCTTGCATTATATTTCTAGTGATTTTTGAAGGAAGGTTACAGTAAAGAAGCCTTCTTTTCATACTTTTCAGTTTCACCCTCAACACAGGATTTACCTTAATCATCACACACATTTGAATTGCAACATTTTATTGTAATATGTAAGCAGAGTTGCTTTGGTAGCTCTCTTGGTACATAATCAGTCTAAAAACTTAAGTGGTGAATAGTTTAGGAAATTAGGGTTTTAATTATTTCTTTTAATAAGGATGAAATTATACACACACACACACACACATAGATAGTGGGGATTGAACCCAAGGACTTTGCACTGAGCTACTTTCCAAGTCCATTTTTTATTATTTATTTTGAGATCGGGCCTCTAGAGGGACTAAAATTTGCAATCCTCCTGCCTCAGCCTCCCAAGTGCTGGGATTACAGGCATGTGCCACCACATCTAACTTGTATGTCTTTATTTATTTTGTATTACATACATTGTTCAAATTTGAAATTACTAGTTTAGGAACTGGATTTTGCTCAGTAGTCAACTTATTTAGCTAGGAAAACATTTATGGGATATATACATTAGGCTCAAGAATGGATTAATAATTATATCTTCTTCAAAGAAATGGATAATTCCAATTTGGGAGCAGAAAAAGTACAAGGTGGCCTGGAGTCCCTTGACATGATAGAATGCATGGAAACTATCAAAGATTAGAACTCCGAAACCTCCTTGAAAAGGCCCCCAGTTGGCCAAGGATGGAACCTTTTGATCATTAATAAAGGTACCAACCACAGTGGGCCAGCATCTCTAAATCAGGAATTCATAATGATGATTAAAAAGTAAAAATAATTCGTTACTTGTGGGAGGGTGATAAAGAATGGATGCATTCTTTTTTGTTCATTTGTTTTTTTTGAGACAGGCTTACTTGATAA